ATTACTTCTTTTAGCTTAGGACTGAAAACAGCTGAAATAGAAAAACTCCAGAAAGACCGTTTCGATCAATGTCGAAGAAAACGAAGAAAAACAACCCCAGTGCAGCCTCACTCCCTATTTATATACCTGTCTTCAATTGTAGTGATCCCGTCTGTCGTCCGCCCGAGAGCTTCCCCTTAGAGAACATGTAGCGGCCGATCACCTCATAACGTAAAGCTGTTGTTTCGCGTAATCCAAAAAAAATAGTTACGGTTGAAATTTTTAAAAAAACTTACAAAAATCCGACAAATTGTGTTCCGATCTGTGGAAGAATAAGAATAGCAGCAATAAATAAAAGAAGAAAAAGATTAAAGGAATTCAATGATCTTTTTTTTCTAACTTCTTGAAACCATGATTTATGAAACTTCTTCCAAAATTTGAACAGTGCTCGTTTCATGACAAATAAAATTTTTAAGGGAATAAACTTTTCAGGTTCTTAAGGCACGGCTTCTAATACGTCGTACATGCAGAAAACTTTAAATTTTTCTTTGTTAACAACTATTTGTATTTCTTTCGTATGCATCGCTTAGCGCAAAAATTTTCTTTTCTTTCCCATTATTTTTCGAAAAACACTATTTTTCAAAGTTTTTTGCTTAGATGCTGTTCTATACTGTGAGCCGTAACTGGAGCATGATGTAATGCTCATGTATTTGCTGGCTCTGTAAATTAATTATTCCTGTCAGGTGTGAGCAAAGTGGCGTCACCAATACTGCTATTTCAGCGTAAATACCGTTTGACAAGCCGTTAAACTTCTTTATGTACGTAACCTTTCGTCATGACTCACTGTTCATCATTAATCGCCCACGTTCCCCCACTGAACTGGGGAGAATTAAAACTATCCGGAAACGAAAGAGTGGGAGTTAAAAAAGAGCATAGAGAGAGAACGCCAACAGAGAGAAAATTGGTCCGTCTCAAGTGAACAACAATCGCTGTAATTCAATTAACATTAACAGCAAAAAAAAGTTTGTTTCTGAATAGAGCAAAAAGACAAAGCTTTTTTTTTTGCCATTTCCGGAAAGAAATTATACAATAAAATACATAAAAAGAAAGACAAACAACTAGACAGAAACCTGGCCTTTTACTGGTGAAGAATTTTAGAAATCCTTTTAACGATAAGTAAAAGAAAAGTGATGTTCGGTCAAGAACGTGAGACGAGAAAAAAAAATTACTGTTGAAAAGAATAGCTTCTGTTTTGGCGATGAATCGTTGTTGTCGTTGGTTTTTAAAACAATAGACTATTTAGGCCCCTTAACAGCCTGCGTAATAGCGACTGCTTTAATAAAAAAAAAAAAGAAAAAAAGAAAAGAATGTTTATTTGCAAAAGCTTTAATTTGCGTCGTTTCCTCTTCTTTTTTTTCTTTTTTTTTTTAGTGTAATAGTTTGACAGTTACGTGATTCTTAGACTAAATAAACATTTTGCTACGCACAGCGTTCCTTGTTAAGCACGTATTATGTACCGAGTTTACACGTCAACACTTTTGAAAACAACATTAAAGAGACAGGTAAAATAAAATTCTTTTTTACTTGCTACATAAATTTCCCTTTGAATGCGTCATATTTTATGTATTCTTGAAGCATTATACTATTCTCTGTCTGCCCGATCACTTACTGCAGTTTATTTCAGAGAACATGTAAATTCTGCCCTGATTTGAAAATTAGATTCAATTTCTTTTTGATAAATTGAATTAAAAAATATGCTTATTCGACACTTAATTTGATTACCGCTATCCAAAATTAGCAATTTTCAATAAACGTACAGTCTGCCTGTTCATTTTTGTTCCCCATATACGAAGCCGAATCGGAAAATAGACGTCTATAAATGTAACTGTATTTTAGCTTTATCCGTACCCAGTTTGGGTAGTGAGCAAAAGTAGTTTAGCCATCATACCAACCAAGAAGTTCTTTCTGTTCATATGTCCTCTAAAAATTTGCACGTGCTTTTCTACTTCAACAAATTTCGCAAAGCGACTTTAAGTATAGATTAAAAAAGACAAGTTGACCAGCCCCACAGCAACCAATAATATAATTTCAGACAATTTTATAGAGGGCAGAAAAGACGTCTTTATTCGCGTCTAGCTGAAGTGTTTAACGCAGAATTTTTTTCTAGAGCATACTGGGCAATTTTTCCCAGTTATTACAACTTAGCAAGCAGTTGAGCACAAAAACACTACTTGTCATAGATTCTTCACTTCATTGCCTTTAATTAAATGTTCTATCTATTAACAACACAACACTCCAAAATAACAAAGCGAAACTTACAGAACAGTACAATAATGTGTATGGGTATCCCAATAGACATTAGTTGAAAACGCAAAAAATAACGTTAAAAAAGACAAAACATTAACGACTTTCCGTTAAAAGCATGCGTCACAAAGTACCTGTACAGTACAAGAACGAAAGAGGTATCCACAAAAAAAGATTGTCAGCCATGCATAGCAGACCGTCCTTCACAAATTCAAAGACTGATAAACAAGATAGCCTATACAAAACCCACGAAAGACTTGATATTTGAGATCACAGCACTAAGTTACAGTCCATAATATGATCATATAAGATTCTCAATACAGCCATTAAGTGGAAAAAATTGTCGAGCGTAACCAAATAAAATTTGTAAAAGCCGCTCCTCGTCTGTAAAACTGTGTCTTCCCAAAAGGTTAACTTTGCAGTTAAAGTTCAGTCAATTCAGGAGTAAATGGTTTGTTTCTGTCAAGTACTGAATAACTGTACATTAGGTAAATTTCTTGCAAGCCATTACAATACATTAAAACCATGTCGCGAACGACCTGAAAGTGAGATCTGAGAGCAAGGTATTGCAAATATAGGAGGTTTAATTGAAAAGTAGTTAAGACAACTACTTACTGCAAATGTTTGCCGACTAAGTGAAACTTACCTAAAACACTTATATCTTTGTCAGTTCAGGCGTTATTTCAGCATAACGCCTAAAATCCTTCATATGTTTCCTCTTCAAAGATGCGACAATCTCGTGAGTCTCACGGTTCCGTGTTTCAGGAAGATACAGATATAAGTATATTAAGCAAACGAAAGATGGAATGATATACAGAGGCACAAAGGTTAATGGTCCGGTTTTCTGGAAAACTTTTGAGCGATGTTTCGTCGATTTTTCAGTACTTCAAAAATAGCCGAATTACAACATTAAATACGGTTATATTTTATAAAACATCATTATAGAATGTTGAAATTACAAAATAATGTCAAAGAATTTTACTAAAGGCATATAAATTTGTTAGCTCTAAAAACCTCAGTTGAACTAACCGTATTTAAACTAGAATTAATAATAAAACTCAGCAAACCTCATAAAACGCTACTGATAAAAAGTTGGTGAATGTAATAAGCACATTACAAAGAGCAAAGCAAAAGCAGAATACAGTCGACTTATGCCTTTGTGGCACCAATTCTGGACCGATAAACCACGTCATTGGACCAATCACCATCCTAAATGGCAAGATAATAATATACCTATATTAAATTTAAACTTTGTTAACTGGGTCTCTCATAGAATCCAATTAAAAATTGAAAGAAAAACAAATCCTGCACAATTAAAATGAAACTCTTTAGCTGGTCATGGAAACTTACGCGTAAACCACCATGTACAAGAACATCGAAGAAATACATGCATATTTCATCCACCAGAAATAGTCGCAAAGAGAAGCACAGATGACGAAAAATAAAAGAAATGTTGTCGCGATGCCACCAAATATGAATAACAGCAGCCTCCGAGGAAATTTGTCCACGAAAGTAGTGCCAATAACTGATGAAACAGTCAGCAAAACCATAAGAATAGTTGATGACAGCTCCGCTATTTCACTGCAATTGTTGTAAGCATTACGAATGAGATTACGCCCTGACGAATGCATGTGATTTTTATATAATACTTTACTTTCCGATGTTCGCGTTTGTAAAGAACAATGTAGATGACTGGAGAACTGGATAGAATGGAAGTGATAGTGCTAGAGCCATAGAAGCAAGAATAACGGCTTGTCTCAAATGCCAAGTGGTTAACACTTCCTAAAATAACTAGGTTGTATACTGTATGGTGTACCAGAGGCGACCAATGCTTTCCGTAATAAAATGATTAAAACCAACTTTTATGCTGCTTCTTTTTGAACTTCCTTCCACTTCTGCTTCTCTGGCGTACTCGTCAAGTAAAGACTCGTTCTCTTTTTTGCGCCCTTGGAAGAATTCTAAAGACTTTAAAGCTGCTACGCGATTATTTCTGCAACCCAAATGGTAAATTAGGGAAAATTAATGGACTGAAAGACGAATACTGCAAACGTCTTTTGACCAATCACGAAAAAATCAACAATGCTAAATGAAAAGCTTGCTCGCGTAAAAGTTCAAATTACACTTACTTTGTTATCATAAGATACTTTGGTGTTTCTGGGATAAAGAACAAAAAGGACACGAAAAGAGCTTGCGGCACTATGGAAACGCTAAGAAGCTGCGAAAGCGAGTCGCCCAAAACAACTCGCATACCTAGCACCATGCCAAGCAAGCACATCAAACCATATCCAATTTCGCACATAAAGCTAAAAGCTCCACGAAGTTCCACAGGTGAACATTCCTAAAAAGCATTTTAGTACACAAAGGTTGGTTTTCTTTAATAGAAATAAAAACTAACGATAAGTAGTAGTTAGGCAACAGTTTCTTTTAGTTAAAATTTTTTCACCTGAAGATACATAATCAGAGACGCGTCACTAAGCGGCGAGCAAAATGCGCATAACGCCCGCCCAGCAATCAGAAGTTCCGGAACCCCAAGAAGAGTTGCGATGTACTGCATAATTGCTGCTATCAACATAACAACTCCAGCGGTCATATATCCCACTGAAATGAAAAACAATGTATAATCAAAATTAGCCAAAAATGCTGCAAAAGTGAACTCGTTTCTTTAATTCGTAGCAGTTCGTGATAAAAAAAAGGAACTTTTTTGACACTTAAACGCCTAAAAACACAAATATACCTTTTCGCCCGTAACGGTCTGTCAGGATTGGAGCTACGACTGCACCGAAAATTTGTGAAACGAACCAACAGTTTAGTGTTGCCGATCGAATCATAGAATATCCCAAAGAAGTGATGTTCCATCCTCTAAACTAACAATCACTAGCGAATTGAACGCATGTCGTATGAAGTAACGAGTTTACAAACCTACCTTGATGTATAGCTTTCATTAATAAAGCGATTAAGTTCCACAATTGCAGTGTTTATTGAGGAGTTAGTGAAGCCGGATGGGAAATTTGTTGTAAGCGTCAAAATTGTGCTAATTGCGAACAATCTGATGATATTGTATTTCGAGATCATTTTTTTTTTTTTGCTGCCAGCGGCAGTAGTCTGAAACTGTGTCAAATAATAATTCAAAAAGTTTTGAAACTTGCAATAAATTGTGTAAAAAAATTGGCGACAACAACGACATCACAGTCCCATAAAATAGGAAAAAAAAAGACATTCCCGTATTACATTTAAAAAGATACATGAGTATCTAAACAGACATTCAGAAAAGAGACTTGTATCCCAGAATCAATGCAGTATGATATTGTGAATGCTGAACACGCACGAAAAGCACTAACAAAACTGAAAAATAAATCTATCTGCACAACAATTCTCCTCATGAGAATTTTCTAAGCTTTATAAATAAGTACGTCTGCCTGTTAAAAGAAATTTTAAAACTGAAAAACTAGAATAACAGTAAAATAGACAATACGATTGATGATGGAAATTATAAGCCATTATTAAACGCATCAAAGTCAGTCTTGATTAAACAACAAATAATTTGCTTTTTTTTATAAAAAATCTCTAGGTAAATTAACTATGATAACTCAAAGACAACGACTGACTGATGTCGAAGTCAAGTTTTAAATAGGAGAGGTCCAATAGAACATTCTTTTCCGTATCTTCTTTTTTTTCGTAAAAAACAATTGAAAATGACATTTTTTTCAGCAGGACAAAAAAAACATAAATGAAAAAGATTTTATAAGTCACGTATAAGTTTCAATACCGGTAATTTCTTTTAGCAACAACAGACAATGTTGCTGATCAAAGAAACAAGACACTTACCTGAACTGTTAATGACTGTTTTTGGCACACATGAAGTTCACCCATTCATAATCTTTGATTTCAGTTTTCATCAATGTTCAGAATTCAAAACCATTTATTTTTATAATGTTGTTTAAAAAACTTCTCTAAAAAAATAAATCTTTAAAATTTATACAACGTTAATTAACCTAAATAAACCAATGACATACAAACTACACCCAAAACGAACTACTCCAGCTTTTAAAAACTACCTTTAAATGTTCATCTAGAGGACCGAATTTAGGGCATACTGTAAAGCATGATCCTTGTTTACTTCTATAACTTTTCTTATTTGTCCAAAAAAGTTCAAGAAACAATAATTTCCCAAAATTGAAAATACCAATTTTAATTTCCAGTGACCGACAACTCAAAAACTGTTTATTGAAAATTCAGAGATTTAATGTGCCCTCATAAACAAAAAATCAAAAGAAAAAGATTTTAGAAATTAAATTTTTACTTTTTAAACACCATATTTTGAGGGCCAAAAATTATTCAAAAAAATTCTTATTGAAACCGCTAAACGCTCATATCAACCAGTAATCAAATTTAATTGCGTTTGCATGTATCTTAAGCTTCAACAAGTAAAAAATTTCATTGCTGAACGTACCAAAAAAAATAGATGTTTAAACGAAATTAATTGGGTTTTTTTTGCAAAAGTACATCAACAAATTTTTAAAGAAACAATAGTGGAAAATATCTGACCAAAAAATAAAATTAAATTAAATTAAAAAAAAACAATTGAGCAGAAATAAAAATTAAGACTATTTACAAGACGCAGAAATTTGTAAAACGCCCTAACAACTAAGGCAATGATTCTATTTTTTTGAAGATAAATCAGACACGCCAATATAAGAAGGAAAAAACTTACAAAAATTAGAACAAACTTTTGCTAATATTATTCAAATTTTTATGGTGCAAACTTCAACTGCTGTGCCATTCCTTTTATGAACAACTACGGGAAAAAAACCGTGTTTTACAGGCAATAAAACAGTGAATACGAAGGCTGCTTATTGAGTAGAACAGCGAACATCCGCATTACTGAGACAGAAAACGATCCACAATATATATATATATATATATATATATATATATA